TATATATATATATTGTATTTTGTTAACTCCGCAAGCAAAACCAATGGATACTGTAAATATCTAAAAACACATTTACTGCAAGTGAACTCGCTAAGCACCATCTTACGTTATTATAATTGTTACAGGAATTGGAAAACGTTACATTAATTATAAATTAGTTAATGGTTATATTCGCTAATTTAAAACTAAGAAAAATATATAAGGCACCGACATTTAGCGATGAAACCGTGTTACCTGCAGACGTAAACAAGTTAAAAAACCAGAGCAGAATCCGAACACATCAATTTTGATCTGCCGTACGTCATTGAATTTAATCCTGACAGGTTTGATTTCCTGTTAAATTTGTCTTCTAAACGGGATAAAACCAGGTTAATGTCCTTAAAATCAAGAAAACTGATTCTTACAAGAAGGGCTTTTAATTTGACACAAATAACCGACGACTGTGAAATACGTCATCGCGCCACAGCGTCGCAGAGTGATGAGGCAGGGCGCAGCCACTGACAGACGTCTCCCTCCTAGCGTCAACCTCCATTGTTTGTTGAAGCATGCTCTAACGGTGTTATTTCCGTTTAGCTACTGATGCTGTGGAATTCAGGCGATATCAGGTACACGCTTTTGATTATTTGATTCGATTTTTCACCATGTAGTGTTACTAACATACCCACGTTTTATACAGTGATGTTTTAACGGTTAATGGTTAAGATGAATCTGTGACATCATGGTGCTGCTGCCTTTTTGGTTCAGTGCGTGAATAACAACTATAACTGGTATAATTTCTGTAAAAGATTGATTATTTGAAATTGAAGTTAATTAACAGCGTATTTTTTAAAATTTATTATCAGTAGCTAATCATCAGTAATTAGAGCAACTTCAGCTATGGACATTTGTTCAAAGCAAACTAGCTTCATCTTCAGGAAGGCCAAGAATTAATAACAGCGTTGTCATTATTATGATTAGCGTTTAAATATAAAACATTTTACAATGTCAGGCTTAGCATCTTTAAAGAATTCCTTCCCTAACTTAAGGATTTAACGTGAAAATTTAATTTAGTTTTAATCTTGGAAGTCATTATATGTTATACGCCATAATGTGAGATGTTTGAGTGGTGCTGTTAAAGGAGACATTTCTTTTATAATTGACTTCTGACTGTGTTTACTGTAGGTTCTAGAGGAGTAGATCCAACTTAAATGTCTCATTGCCTTCTAATCTCTGCACACAGTATGTGTCATCATCTTTAATGTCTCATCATTGTTTACATCCTAATGCTACTCTTGTCTCATCGTTGTTTGTGTCTCATCAAGAACAAGTGTGGTGGCCAGGAAAAGTACTTGAGATGTAAATAGCTCTGAGTCTCTTTTTGTTTGCTGTGGTGATGGATGGGTTGAAAGGACAGATGAGATCAATGGACCATGATGTTTTTGAGTGACATTGTAATTTGTGGTGAGAATAGATAGCAGGTGGAAGAAAACCTGGAGATGTGGAGATTTTTTTTGTGAAGTAAAAAGGAATGAAGGTCAGCAGGGGCAAAACAGAATACCAGTGTGTAAATGAGAGTGACAATCACGGAAAGAGCTACACTTTATAAATGTGATGAAAAGAATCAAACCTGATGCAGATGTAAAGGATCATGATAGACCTGAGGGTTTTTACATTATCACCTCTGTAACACCGAATATACCCAGGGTTCTGTAGTTCATACTGTACATTTATCCTGTACGTTCATCTGCTCCTCTGTGGGTGACATGTGTGAAACAGCAGTTCTTTTTTTCACCTAGTCTTTATTGACCTGGTTTTTTCTGCTGTGTTATCTGAGCCTGGATGTGTGGCTGTGTCCAGAATGATCTAAATGGGTCAGTACTTTTGTACTAAGTGAGGTTAAAGCTATTAATAAATATTTCTTTTTTCATCTTTGTCCTTGGGTTTCTCTAACAGCTTTTATTATGCTAAGCTTCAGTGTCTGTGCATTTAACATTCATTGTTTTAAAAGAAAGCCTTAATCTCTGTGTTGATGCAGGTAGAGGTGGGTGTAGTCAGCACCAACCAGGATGTGATGTCATCACACTCAGACACGCTGGTCATTCTCCTCCTGCTGCTGCCAGGAAACAAAGGACATGTTTGAGATGAAGCCACGAGCAGTAGAGAAGAAAGAGTCCAGCACAGAGACAGGTGAAGAAGATGATGATGGTTGTGTGAAATAAAGACTGACTGATGCAGCAGCATTACTTGCTTCAGTCCCGATGGTTGGATCTACTGTTGTCTAAACCAGTAAAGAACCAAAGTGATCCATATGAAGAAGATTAGTTTGTGAAGGACACACATAGTTACAGTGTTTGTTTACTGACAACACTGAAGTTTATTAGTGCATTATGTGGCAATAAAATGAAAATAAAATATGCAATAAAATATGGCAAACTAAAATGTGGGGAAGATTAAAGAAAGATTGCAGTTAAACAAAAGGCATTGACATTTGCAAAAACAAGGCATTAAATTGAGTTGACAAATAAAAAAATAAAAAAATCAGGTTAGAAGCCAACACATTAGAAAGAAGTTTATTCCTGATCTATAGCTGAGGAGAATGTGTGTGTTCCACAGATGAAGGCCTGGGCAGCAGCAGCTGTGGAGCAGGAGGAGACACTGGAGGAGCAGGAGGTGTCAGTAACAGCAGTAGCAGGGTCTGTGGTTCTGGTTCAGTTGGTTCTGGTTCTGTTTGCTCTGTTTATCTGTCAGACAGTCAGGACTGGGCCATTTCACCAAGTCCTTCTCCAGATGAAGGCCCTGCCCACCAGGGCGGCGCCATCTCCCCTCTGCTGGCTGAGGAGACCTTCAGATACATGAGTATGTCATTTTGAAATATTTACATTCTTGATTTAATTTATTAAATGATGCATTTTAACCAGTGAGTGTTATTATGGTTGTTTTTGCTCTAATTTGCAAATATTGATTTTTTTTTTCCAATTCCATTATCTGTGTTCAGTTTTGTATCATTAGTCATTTTTGGTTAATGTGTAGCCAGTCAATCTGAAAGTTCTTCTTACTGTTAGCATTATTATTATTATTATTTTTATTTTTTACAAACTTTGCATAGATTGTTTCCAAATTGTTGCCTTGTTTTCTGACATTTTTGCCTCAGTTCTTTGCTGACTGTCACCTGACTGATGTGCACTATGGAAACTTAACTGCATATTTTCCATTCAGTGGTTAAAGGACCTATTGTTATTGATATGTCTGATTTGCAATTAAAACCTTGGAAGGATTTAGGTATCTAGATCACTTTGCTCTGACCTGGTTGGATATCTGACTCTGGTTCAGAGGTGAGTGAACAGATGGTGTGTCAGTGTCTCTCTCACATATACACACAGGGATTGGTTTATTCACCTCACAGATCTACTCTGTGTCTGTTTGGTAGAAGTAAGCTTCACCCAAATTGATCTGAAGGAAACAGATGGAAAGACAAACATTGAAGGAGACAATTCTAATCAGGCTTTAGTGGAGTGGAATCACAGGACAGACAGAGTGAACAGAGCAGGAGGAGGAGCAGGAGCTGGAAGGGGAGATAGTGAGTGAACAGACAGTGTATAATGTGGAGTTGGAGGCGATGCCTATTTTAAACGTCCTTCATGAAGAGGTTTATGAACACGTGCCAGTGGAAGGTGAGAGACATTTGAGACACTGTGTCCTCACAGTCAAACTGTGTTTGTGTGTTTACATTCCAGTCTTCAGCAGCGGCATCTCACTTCCTGTCTCTGCTGCTCATTATTGTTCTAGAAACATCCTCTTTCTTTTTTTGAAATATTTAACTTCCTGTTTAGGCTCTTTACTGATTTCTTTTTAGTAATGTTTGTGTTTATGTGAGAAGAACTACAGTAAGGAGATTTTATTTCGTGTTTCCTTCCTGTCTTTGTTGTGAGATGATGTTTGTGTGTGTGTGTGTGTGAGAGAGAGAGAGCAGCTCAGTGTGTATTTATATCTTCTAATGGTTGGAGGACAGAGGTCACTGAAGGCCTCAGATTATCCAGCTTTACCTCAAGCTGAGCTGACTCTTTACCTTTAAACCTTTGTTGGAAACTTGGTTCATTTTTTGAAAGATTGTTTTCCATTTACCAGATATAATTCCCTTCACGACTCACAAGTGGAGTCTTTGTTAAGACCATTCGTTTTAAACTACAAAGTAACAGATTTTTGTTAAAGCTTCTGTGAATCCATACAGATGCTGCAGGTGGAGGTGGGTGGAGCTCCACACCAGTGACAGCTACTCAGGTGTTTCCAGCAGCTCTGAACTAGTTGATGTAGAGTCTGTAATAAAAACAACCGCCAGCTGATTTGTCAAAGCTTCAGCTTTCATTTTCTCCTTCTTCAGATAGACCGTTTCTTCTAAATCCCACTGTTTGTCTCTTACCTGCTTTTTTTCTTCTTCTCTGGTTTTCTTCCTGTATTTCACTAGCATATCTTTCTTTGGACTCCTCTCACTCCCATCCTGACTCTCAGAGTCTCTCCAAAGGTACTTTTCTGTTTCTTCCTCCATGCATCAAACTTTCTTCTCCTGTTCTTTTCTACTCTGTCGCTCATGCACCTACGCATCTGCACTTAGAACCTCAGCTGTTGTTGTTTGGTTGCCTGTAGATGAAAAAAAAATCTAAATCTAGTTCTGTTCCTCTGTAGAAGAATCCTGGTGGTCTTGAGTGTGTGGGTGTAGTGTTTGTGGTGGGTGTGGTCTACCTCTGCTGTTTTTTATTTTTTTTATTTTTTATTTTGTTTCTACCTTGACCTCATCACCATAGTCTGGGTCTAACCGGTTTATTCCTGTGTCATGACTAGCCTTGACCACAGCTTTAGTATGGCTGCCTGTCTTTTTGCTTGTGGTCAGAACCAGTGTTGTAGAACTTAAGTCCAGGTCTCAGATTAAAATGCTTGAAAATATATATATATATTTTTGCCATCCTTCCACTGTCTATTCATTGAATATTTTGGGTGTCCCAATACCAGTTTTTACAAACCGATACCAGTGCGAGTATTTACATACAATATGTTTACGTACCTTACTGAGTACAGTCACAGATGAATATTTATGCAGGGTCTCAATAAATATATGAAATGCAGCGAACTGGCAGTGCTATATGAGTAATAGGTTGGCAAACAACGTGTGTGTGTGTATGTCAGTTCAACCCAAACCACAGCGAGGACACCTCAGGAAAATGTTTACAGTCTGTTTTATGTTCTTCTCAGTATAATATTTCTGTGATAAAGAGAAAATCTTCAAACTAAGGCGTGTCTTCAGGTGTTTCTTTAAATTGCTTGTATTGGCTGGTGTGCAGCTGGTTGTAGTGATAAGCTGTTGTGAAGCACCGGGTCACTGGATTGGGACATCATTTTGAGTTTAAATATTCGATAGATGTTTGTGACCCAATTGCAATACTGGTATTATATGAGGCACCCCTAATTTAAACATATGTAAAGGTTAGTCAAAACTGACCTGGACTAAGGCTACGTTAAAGCCTGGACTACAGCACTGGTCAGAAGACTTTCTGGTGTAGAATGCTTTAGCTATCATGCTACATAGCTAGCATGTGTGTTTCTGTGTGGTTTTACACATTGTGATGCATATGGTTAGCATGTAAATGTTAACGCTTCATTTTGCACTGAATGACCTCAAAGTCACACGTGTCCTTGTCTCCAGTCCTCAGCTCTGATCGTGGGGAGCAAATGACCAAGACCTACAATGACATTGACGTGGTCACACACCTGCTGGCAGAGGTAGGCATTTCACCTTTTAACAAAGGTGTCTTATAACCTGTTCAACACTGAGAGTCCTGTCTTTTCATTGGACAGCGGGACAGAGACCTGGAACTAGCAGCTCGAATTGGTCAGTCCTTGCTGCAGAGGAATCACCTCCTGCAGGAACGTAACGAGGTTGTGGAGGAGCACTTGGCACAGGCTTTGGACCAGGTACCTGGACATTAAAGTAGAGTATAATTGTCAATGGGTTCCTAAGCAGCTATTTTGAGGTTTTATCATGGTATTATCTGCGTCTTTGAAGACCTTAAACCAAACCCATGCCTGCAGGTTCACCAACTACAGCATGAGCTCAGTAAGAAGGACGAGCTCCTCAGGATGGTGGCCTCCTCTGAGGACAGTGAGACCGATTCTAGTATATCCACACCAGTGTATCAGCAGGGCAGACCACCAGGGGGAGCCACCAACTCCACCACTCTCAGCCAACTGGAGTCTCTACAGCGGAAACTGCAGGAGATAGAGGAGGAAAACCTGGCTCTGAGGTCAGAGGTACGAGGAGGTAACAGCGGGATGGTCAGCTGTAGCTAACCTTTAGCTGGAGCTCAGATCTAGGTTACTGGTAGGACTGTTTCTGAAGAGTCTCAGCAGAAATACATATATATGTATACATTATATTTATGTGTATATATATATATAAAAGCATCTTAAGTTGAACATTTTCATCTGTGTCTGTCTCAGGCCTGTCAACTGAAGAGAGACACCATTACATTCGAGGAGAAGGAGCAACAGCTGGTCAGCGACTGTGTCAAAGAGCTGCGTCAGTAGAAGTCAAACACACTTTGACATACACATGATGCAGTTTGTGTGTGGAGTTAATTGTGTGTGTGTGTGTGTGTGTGTGTGTGTGTGTAGGTGAGTCCAACAGTCAGATGGTTTCTCTGACAGATGAACTGTCTCAGAAGAACGAGGAGCTGCTCAGACATCAGGAGGAAATCGCCCAGCTGCTTTCACAGATTGTGCAGTTGCAGCACAGAGTCAAAGAGGTCAGAAGAGACAAGTGTGTATGTGTGTTCAGCTGTACTTTACTTTGGACATTAATTAACATTAACATTAGTGTTTTTTGTGTATCTGTGTCGTGTTGCGTAGTTGGCCCTGGAGAAGGAGGAGCTGAGAATTCACCTGCAGGCGTCTAAAGATGCTCAGAGGCAGCTCACAGCAGAGGTGCTACTTTCTGGCTAATTTTTCTGGCAAATATTTAAAACTAAATTCCAGTCTTAGTAACACTCTCTGTTTGTTTCCATTTTTAAAATCTCAAATAAACACACACAAACATACATATAGTTGAACGAGTTAACAGAGAGGAATGCTGAGTGTGTTGAGATGCTTCATGAGTCCCAGGAGGAGATCAAGGAGTTACGCAGTAAAAACACGCCCTCTGCTGGACTGCGACGACACCTGTCCTATGGACTCTACCCCATGGTCAGTAAAACATACACACAGAAAACAGATGTGGCAGAATCATTAGTAATCATACGTGTGTGTGTGTGTGTGTGTGTGTGTGTGTGTTTGTTTGTTGACTAACAGGACTCTCTGGCAGCAGAAATTGAAGGAACCATGAGAAGAGAACTCAGCACAGATGAAGAAACAACTTTTCAGGACCAAAGGTGAGACCTGACAGAACCTGTAAATGATGTAACTCCAGTCCAATTGAACCCTCTGTGGCCCAAACAGTTAGGGAATTGAAGAGATTGCTGGTTTAAGCCCACCCCGCACTGACATTCAGGTTGCTGTAGTGCCTCAAATTATTATTATTTTGTGGTTCCATAGCGGTGTAGTGTGTTAGCAGAGAGTCCTGGGTTTGATTCTCAGAGGAACCACAACCCCTAATTGTGCCTCGTGTGGCAGCCTGTGACAGGTGCATAGACTCACACTGTAAATTTCCCTATTGTGGGAAAAATTAACTTGGGACTAAATTATTATTATTATTGTTGTTGTTGTTATTATTATTATTATTATTATTTCTGACCTCTGGACATTGTACATTGAGCACAGAAACCAGGCGATCTACAATCACACTTTGGACTCAGTGACTTGACACAGGGTCAGACTCTTCTCTAAATTCATCTTTAGTCACTTGTATTCAAAACCATAAAGACATGACTTGGATATAATTAACTTTCTACCTTCTAAGTTGTTTGAAGTTGTTGAAGCGCACAGTTCAGTGTCAAGGTTAAGATATGAGTGCTGGGGAGCACCACCCTGAAGGTCAGTGACCATTGTTCACTAATGTCTTTGCCTCATAGACTTTCTCAGAGGCGTGTTTTCCAGACTGTTCGCTCAGTCAACTCCTTGACATCATCTAGAGCATCTTCATCATCTCCTCATATCCCAGGTTCTGGTTCTAGTCTAGTGATGACATCACAGCCATTCCTGTCCAATGAGGAGTAAGAAATGTTTATCCGTTATGTCCATGTTCATAATCAAAGGTCTAAATATCTCAGTGAGATAATTTCTGTCTATCCACAGGGAGGAGGTCCAGATGGGCCGACCTGGTTCTCCAGGAGGATCTGACCTCAGTAGAGCTCTGAACCGCCTTTCCCTGCGCCAGCAGAACTTCCTGTCAGAGCGACAGTTCTTCCAGACGGCGCGGGAGAAGAAGCTCAGGGCTTTGGAGGAGACGGAGGATGTGGATGGAGTGTGTTCACCAATGAACAGCGTCCTCTCGTCGTTCTCTAACCTGTCAGAACTGTCCTTCAGCTCCAGTGTCTTCAAGACTTTCCTCCCTGAAAAGCTCCAGATTGTCAAACCCATGGAAGGTCTGTCCCCAACTGTGTCCTCTGCTGATTTGGTTAAATTTGGTCTTCTTCTGTGATGACTCTAACCCTAGAAACAGCGACAAAAAGGTTGGTCAGAAGACAGCCTTATAACGATGTTAAAAACAATGACGTAAAAAACGTTTTTTGCAAAAAAGTCACCAAACATTTAACCACACTTTAAACATTTAAAGTAATTTTAAGATTAATCAGAATGTAAGATATAAATGGCTATAACTTACCATCAGAAATAAAAAAAATAAAACTGTTGTGTAAGACAAAATAAAAGCCAAATGTCAGATGAAAACTACATTTTTTAATTCAACTTCAGTTACTCTGAAGTTTAGCAAAAATGTAGCAAAAAACTGCTAAATTATTCTGTGGTGCAGCTGCAGGTTATAGGTCTGCAGATACAGGTGGCGCTCTCACTGTAGTTTGATCTTCCCAGGTTCTCTGACCCTGCATCATTGGCAGCAGCTGGCCAAACCTCACCTGGCCTCCATCTTGGATCCTCACCCTGGAGTGGTAACCAAAGGGTTTCGCCCTCTGGAGGTAGATCCTGTGTACCGTCTCTCTGACATGGAGGAGGATCAGGAGGAGGAGCTGGTGCAAGATGAACCCAGAGGAGGAAAAGAAGGAGTCCAAGAAAAAGGAGCAGCTGAGCAAGGAAAAGATGAGGAGGATGAAGATGGAGGAATCACTTTTAAAGTTCGCTGTACGTCCACACCAGACGACAGGAAACACTCAACGGTGCACCTTCCTGTCCTGCCCATATCCCAGACTGTGTCACTTCCTGTTAATGAGGTGCCCAGTCAACAACAACAGTCCATTGCAGGTCACGTTACCTTGACATCAACAGGTAAATTAACATTACACAGCTGAACTCTAATCAGTTGACATTTCCTTTCCTGACATGTTATGTTTGTTTTTTAGTCCAAAATCCAGGTAAGTGTCAGAGCAACACCTGCTCCACCTACACCTTCACCACATGCCGCATCCTGCACCCAAGTGACATCACACAGGTCACTTCCAGGTAAGTGTTTCAGACAGAGCTGTGGGATCATGTGTTTCCTCTCTGGACTTCTGTATAGATTTAAGGACAGTAAATATGTGTCCTTCCTCCAGTTCTCTGTCCTCAGTCATGACCAACACTCCCAGTTCCATGAGGACTGGACCCAGTACACCTTTGACACCCTGCAGACTCAGCCTGGGTGACTCCTTCCCCCTCCGACGCCCTGCAGCTCCCACCAGCAGCCTGACCAAGCTGGTTCTGGAGCAAGGAATCTCTGCACAGGTGACCACTGAAGCCGCAGCCCCGCGCCGCAGAGGCACACCCAGAAGGCTCTGCCTCCTTCCTAGCACTCCACCAAACTCCCCGTCCAGCTCACCCACTCCCTCTCCCGTCCCCACCGAGCATCGCGGGCACACAGCTGACAACTTCCTGGCCTCACGACCTGCTGAGCTCTTCCTCCAGGATGTTTACGGTTTAAATCTGGGTCGAGCCCCACACCCAGACCTGCCCAGCCCCTCACAGGAAACCTTTAACCCTGTGGACAGATCGAGGGCTGACTCGGGTGTCAGCATGGGTCTGGTGGAGCGACTGCGGCGACTGGGCTTCTCTAAAATTCTTCATGGTTCTGCAGAGGGTGAAGCATGCAGAGTACAGCGACAGGATTCAGCCTTGTTTGTCTCTGCAGGAGGGGGAAGTTTATTGGACGGCTTGAGGCGCAACCAGAGCCTGCCCGCCCTGATCAGTGCCAGAGCTGGGAAGACTGTCAGTGCCTCAGGCCCTCCTCTCCATCATCCTCCCTACCCCACCTCCCTGGACCTCCCTCCACCTCTGTGGGGTAACCTTAAACAACGAAGACGACAGCTGGCCTCAGACTCCCAGGTTCAGTCCTGTCATCCAAACAGTGAAGACCAGTAGAAGCGGATGTTCTTCTGACTCATGACTTCCTGTGGAGAAACCACAGAGGTTTCATTTATGTTGTTTTTTAAAGCACAAAGCAAATATGAAACTGTCACATTTCTAACAGGAAAAAAGGTAAGAACCATGACAGCAGTAACCATTGACTTCAGGAAGATCAACTGTGATACGGGCCTGAAGGACTAGACCAGAACTAGGGCAAAGATTGGTCTACAGACAGTCAACCTGTCTGTAGACCACCCACTCTGCTACACCAAAGTCCATAGAGAAAAACCACCATTTATAAAATGATAATTTTCTCTATGGACCTCAGTGTTGGGTTTATAAAAACCATATCATTTTTCTCCAAAGTGAAACAAACTTTGGGACCTGGATAACATTTAGAGCCAGGTAATCCATGTTTAATTTCTCTAACGAAATATGAATGCACAAATCAGGAAAAGTAAGTAGTCTCTGAAGGTCCATTGTGTGTGTGTGAGGAGAAGAGAAGG